GTGGCCCTTTAAACCAATGAAATGAAAACTTTAAAATGTACTTTTCCCCTTTTGCAAATTACTTGCGTTGTATCAATTTCATTTTTACCTTCTTTGTTTTTAAAGCCAAAATGCATCCAAGCATCTGACTTGAAATGTGATGGAGCCGCGGGGTGAATTTTCATAGTGTCCTCCATGTTTTATTTCATATGACTCGTTGCAGTATCCCATGGCCGGACATGCTTGTGACAAAAGGCAGCGGGCGTCAACACATCCGCAGCGACATCTGCTGGACTGGAAGTTGTATTCCACTTGGTTTGGCTGATGTGCGCCAGCCATTAATGTATTTTATTTGTTCATTTTTTTTTTATAATCGATTCTTGCCTTCAAGAATCGATGCAGTAGATCACAAAAATTAGAATGGCGATGCATCGTCATGACGATTATTTTGCACACCCTTACTGTCACAGAACAGAGCAACAAAATTCCCTCTCTGCATTTTACCCATCCTCTTAGGGAGCAGTGGGCTAACATTGTGCAGCACCTGGGGAACAGTGTGGGGTTAAGGGTCTTGCTCAGGGACCCAGAGTGGCAGTCTGTGGGAGTGGGGCCTGAACTCACAACCTCAGGTTTCCAGGCGCTATGCCCTAACCACTAGGCCGCTTAGATCTCTCGCCTCTCATTAGTAAACAAGCTTCAATGTTAAGTAATTTCATCTTGGGATATTTTTCAATTCTATTATATAATAATTATTTTTTTATTTTTCTGGCACAGGGATTGCATTTATAAAACTAGAAAAATGTAAATTGTTAAAGTGCTGTATAATACTTGTTAAATTGTACACTGTCACCAAGGAAAGGATAACAACTGTAAAGCATTACATCCTGTGTTGTAGATCACTTTTCACAACAATAAATATATGTGTAAAATAAAAACATAAACCTTTATACCTCCCAACCTGAGGAAGCTGCTGACCATGATGACGTCTCTCTTCAGCTTATCGGTTATTTCTTGTTTTTATTCATATTCCGGCACACAGTGCTTCGAGAAATGCCCTCTCCTTTGTCTGTCAGCTTTTCCCTTTCAGGACTCGCCACAGCGACTCGTCTGTTTCCATCTAACTATCGTCTGCATCTACTTC